AGTGTATACATAGTTGTGAATACATGAAATGGGTACATATAAGAAAAATAAAAGAATAAGAGAAACAATAGGACAGGGACGGTAGGCACGTTGGTGCGCTTATGCACGCCCCCTACAGACCTCTTAGGAAAGGGGTGAGGTCAATAGTAGACAGTCCAAGGTTAAAGTTTTTGGGGTTTGGGGAAGAGACTACAGAGTCGGGTAGAGTATTCCAGACATTGACCACTCTATTGCTGAAGTCGTATTTCCTGCAATCAAGTTTGGTGCGGTTTACTTTGAGTTTGTATCTATTGTGTGCTCTTGTGTTGTTATGGTTGAAGCTGAAGTATTCATTGACAGGTAGGACATTGCAATGTATGATTTTATATACCATGCTTAAGTCAGACCGAAGACGGCGTAATTCAAGGTTTTCTAGTTCTAGAATTTTAAGTCTGGTGGCATAAGGTATTCTACAACGAGTAGAAGAGTGGAGAACTCTTCTTGTGAAATATTTCTGGACTTTCTCAATTGTGCTAATATCAGATACGTAATGTGGGTTCCAGACTGATGAACTGTATTCGAGTATTGGTCTAGCAAATGTTTTGTATGCTCTGGTTAGTAGTGTGATATTACCAGAGAAAAAGCTACGTAGGATTAGGTTAACAACTCTTAATGCCTTTTTGGCTATGTAGTTGCAGTGGGCTCTAGCACTTAGATCATTAGAGGTGAGTATTCCAAGGTCCTTTACAGAGCTTGGGTCATCAACAAGATCTTGACTATTCAGCTTGTATTTTATTTTCTGATTTTTTTTGCCAATATGTAAGACAGAGCATTTATTTGTTGAGATTTGAAGTTGCCATTTGTTTGACCATTCAGATACATAGTCAAGATCTTTTTGTAGGGTAGCAGTATTGTCTGTGGTATTGAACAGCTTTACATCATCAGCGAAGAGAACGCAATTGCTCTTAATATGATCACAGAGGTCGTTTATGTAGAGTATGAAGAGAGTTGGTCCTAGAACACTGCCCTGGGGGACACCACTATTGACAGGTACTGGAGTTGATAGGACGCTCCCGATTTTGACCATTTGTTGTCTGTTTGACAGGAATGCTTCTATCCAGTTATTCAGTTGTCCAGAGATACCATAGGATTTTATTTTTAGGAGTAGTTTGTCGTGTACCACTGAATCAAAGGCTTTACAGAAGTCTATGTAGATTGCGTCTATTGCTTTGCCCTGGTCGAGTTGTGTCGTCCATATGTCTTTGCAGTGTAAGAGTTGCAGATTACAGGATAGTTTTTTTCTGAAACCAAATTGTTTATTGGAGAGTAGGTTGTTTGTCTCTAAGTGGAGGATGATGGATTGGTTAATAATTGATTCCATGACTTTACAGGTGACGCAGCATAAGGAGATTGGCCTGTAATTTTCAACTAGGCTTGGCTCTCCCTTTTTGAAGATGGGGATGACTGTGGCTTGTGACCATAGGTTAGGCAAGGAGCTGGTCCTGAAAGATTTTTCAAAGATTATGCTTAGAGGTTTGGCTATGGCAGTGGATAGCTTTCTTAAGAAGTAGGCACATATTCCATCAGGTCCAATAGATAGAGATGGTTTTATATTGTGTAGTGATTTTTTGATATAATATCAGTAATATTTAAATTCAAAAGAATGTTATGTTCTATAGAAAGGCAGGAATGCAGGCGATTTATGTAAACCTTAAGCTTAACCAGAATGCTAATTGTTTAAATTCAATAAATTATGGGATGTTGGGGGGGAACTCCCCAGTCAGGTTTGGAACCACAGCATGCAAGGAGAGGAGTTAACCATTTCTCTTCCCACTCTATTTGTTCCAGGAGGAAAATGTTCATTGGTTGATGTCACCTTGAACAAATAATGCCTTTGGGGAAAAAGCCTGTAATATCAAGTTAAATTGTTAGTTAAATCCTTTTCCCCCTGCACTGTAATTGTCATTCTAATATTAAATAGTATTGCAGTGCTACAAAATATTATGTATGTTACAATTATGCAATTAAGACCTTGTCATGAGAGCAACATACTGTTTTCTCCATGAAGCCCCAGATAAACCATTAAGTAAAATAAGAATATGTACTGAGCAAACGATTGGGATGCATGATCAAAATAGTCCTTTTTGAATTTATTATTCCTTAGAATGGGAGAGAGAAAGCTATTATATTTAGACCACAATTCCCTGAGTAGTTTAGGACAGAAGTAGTGTTAGTACTGCTTCATACTGCACTGCTAAGATCGCACTTGGAAACGGTATCCAGTTTTGATCACCACAATACAAAAAAGACGTTGAAACTCTAGAAAGAATGCAGAGAAAAGAACAACAAAGTTAATTATGGGACTGGAAGATAAAACATATGATGAATGGTTGCAGGAACTGGGTATATCTAGTCTAACAAAGAGAAGGACTGGGTTGACTTTATAGCAATATTCCAATATTTCAGGGGCTGCCAGAGCGAGCAGAGATTCAACCTAATTCTCCAAAGCACCTGAGGGCAGGAAAAGAAGTAATGGTCTTATCAAAGAGGGAACTTAGAAGTAGGGAGACATTTCCTGACAATGAGAATTTACAGAGGACACCAGATTTGAAATGATTGGTATGAATAAATGTCTAAATAGTTGCTGTGGTGTTTGAACTGGAGTGAACAACCCTAACCATTGATCAGCATGTTTCCAAAACACCCTTTTGAGGTGACTGAATGAAGTACTCCATGGAAAGCCAATGTAGCATAATAATAAGATAAATGGATAATTAATAATTCAGTACCTGGGGAAAAAAAAATAAAAGAATAGAATCCAGGAGACATCTGAGTAAGAGACCTACCACTCCACCACCAAGTGAAATTGACCCACAGTTATTTTCATCTCTGATAACCCTGAAATGCTGGGAACAGAACGGTGGGAGAAAGAAACAAAGAGGTGGGGTAAGATGAGAGTTCCCAGGTTGCCTAAAAGCTCTGCCAAGCTGTAATGCATCAGGAGATAAAACCAGATTTATTGTGATTTTGCATATACAGTATTACAGCTGAATTGATAATAATAAATCAATTCATCTCCTGGAATCTACTGTCATACTGTGAAAAGGCAGATTTGGGCTACTTCCAAGCTACAGCAGAAATTCCACGTGGAAGTGATTTTATAGAATCCTAAACACTATTTTGGTTTGGTGGTAGGATCTGGGCTAAACATTCCATGTTGGAGTGGAGTCCATGTTGAAGTGGAGATCCATGATCTTAGAGCAAAGCTGAGACATTATTATCCCAGGTAATTTTTCATTCTAAAAGAACAATGGGTTTGTCCCAAAGGTGCTTTTTCAAGAGGCAATTGGATGTCCCTGTTTTTCTTTGAAGTTTTTCTTGTTTTTCTTTTCGCTTCTCATCCAAGAAGCTTCTTCAGCACTGACTGGATAGTGGGGAATGGAAGAATTTATATAAAAACAAGAAAGTCCAGTTGCCTCTTGAAAAAGCACCTTTGGGACAATCATGACTTGGATGACTGAGAATCTCCATAGATGAACAATGGAGTTAACAATGGAAAATCTGGAGTACGGGTCACAGAAGATTTAGAAGTCCTTGTGTATTATATGGAATAGGACTATCCTAGACTGTATGCAGAAATGGAAAGCAGTTTATTTTTCTTCAGCTATCTGAAGATCATGCAACTGCACCTGTTGTTTTTTCAGTCTAGAGCTTGTATTACTTTTTAGTTTTAAGAGGTTTTTTAAAAAAAATATGAAATGTAAGAGGCTGTTGTCTGAATTGCTTAAGTATAAACAAGATGGTGCTTTATATCAATATTCCATTTTAAAATCATCCTGCCATTTGGGGAACATCAATTTACAGCATGTACTGAAGATCACACTGGCTTCTGGCATAAGAAAAAAAAATAGTGCTAGGAGTTTGTCAGATGACATGATGTCTTTCCCCCAGTTGTGTTCAACTTAATTTATTGCTAACAAGATTTTACCCTGCTTAGGTTCAGTTTTTGCCTCTTCATTTTTATTTTTTATTTTTAGGTCAGCTAACTCCCCTGAAATTCCTTACAAGCCAACTCCACTTCGCGATGCTCTTCTTAAGAGGACTTACTTCAACTAAAAAAAAAAAAGGGGGGGGGACCTTAATATCCATGTCTCCAGTTTAATTTCCTTCTCCTTCCCTGTGATGTTGGCGTCCCAGCTCGAGCACCGTTTCAATGTGATTGGGACGGATGAAGGGCAGAACTGGCTTGGACCCAAAGCAGATAAAGAGAGCCGGGTAGCTCTCCCTCCCTCCCTCCTGCTAGGCAGACAAAGTTTGAAACGGGGCAGAGTTTGAAACGGGATCAACCCCTGTCCTGATGAGACGAATCCCCTCGCCGTGTGATGATGGCTGTTGCCATTGGTTATTATTACGCGGCTCGGCATCGAGGCAGAAAGCAGCCGCCGCGACCGATGCTTTGATGGGAAAGAAAAGGTAGTGGATGGAGAGGAGGAGAGGGGAGGGGAGACGGGCCGAGATGCTGTCGGGGATTGGCTGCGCCTCATGTCAGTCGGAGCGACTGGCCCCAGCGCTTCCGCTGCTCCCGCTCCAGCTGAGCAGCTCCTAAAAGCGTGCGAGTGCTGCGAACCGGCATCATGCTTCGGATGCTCGGAGATTTCCCCCGCCCCTAAGCCCCGGCTAAATAAGTGTTCCTGGGCATCCCTTCCCTAGCAGGACAGACAGGAGGAGGAGGAGGAGAGGAGGAGGAGGAGGAGGAGAAAAAGCGGAGAAAGAGGGGGGGAAAAGAGAGAGAGAGAGAGAGAGAGAAAGAGAGTTAATTTTCCGCCAAGTGGACGAGGCTCAGGAGAAGAGTCAGAGCGCGACAGCGCGAGAGAGACCGGGCGCTTTCCTTGCACAGCGGCCAAGTCGGAATTTGAAGCAACCAGCCACGAAAAGGAAAAAAAAAAAAAAACCGAGCCCGGAGCTTCCCCAAGCGGGATACCAGGCGCAGCATCGCAAAGCGTTACTCCAGCCAGGTAGAAATGACATCAACTGGCAAAGAAGGCAGCGGAGCTCAACACGCGCAATATGTTGGACCCTACCGCTTGGAGAAAACGCTGGGCAAAGGACAGACAGGTGAGTTTCCTCGGCGGCAGCCGCCGCCGCCGCCGCCGCCAAGCAAACCCAGGGGGAGAAGAAGGTGGCAGTCGCGGACATGACGGGAGATGGGAGAGTCCGGCCTCGCGGGTCCCTTCCTTGTCTTGTCGCTGTGGCATCTGCTATCGAAGGGGGTTCCTTTTCGTGTGGCTCTTTTTTTGTGGGGGGGGGGGGGGGGGTGGGGAAGAGAGATTTGGGGTGATTTGCATCTTGTTTTAAAGCCCAGCTTTGCTTTGTGTGGATCACTCCTGGAAAGGGGTGGTGTTCTGATGACAGTCAAAGTGCCGGTGGGGAGGGGCTGGTAGAATTGGGGGGGGGGGGGGGGGGGGGGGGGGGGGGGGGATGCTCAGCTGCTGGTCAATTTGGTTTGGATTCAGTTGCATGGCTTTCATTTCTTTTCTTTAAAAAAAAAAAAGGAATCGTAGATCAAGAGGAGGAGGAGGAGGAAACAGGGAGTCACCAGCAGTGTTTTATGACATCATGACTGAAAAGGGTGTAGTCTTGAAGGTGCAGTTAGTAGAGGTGTGGGGAAGAGGAGAGAACACATAGAGTGCAATTTATGGCACCGTCTTTGTTGATGATTTGGAAGGCGACCAAAATGGGAAGGGGTGGTCGCTAGGAAAAGAAGAAGAAAAAAAAGACTTGCCAATCCTGCCCTGGATGTCTTATTTTGTTTTCCCCACTAAACACAATTTCCTGCTGCTTAGAGGAAGATCCCCTGTTCTGCAGTCAGATGCCAGAGATTTGTTGTTTGTGGTCCTCTGAGAAGAACAATGGCAAGGAATATTAACAGAAGGAAAGAGAGTGTGGAGGGCATTAGCCGGGAGCAGGTGTGTTTGCCCTCAATGATATAATTAGATCCCCTCAATGTATTCAACCGTTTGGACTGGCTGGTTCTCTGCAGCACTAGATGTACTTCAAGGGCAGGCAAAGAGTAATGGCAAAGAAAAGGGCCCTGGCAAACATGGCAAATCTCTGCCTGCCAGATTTCCCATATTTTTGTTCTCCATTTTTGGTAACCAGTCCAGTTGACCCTCTTGTTTGGCAGCCTTTGATTGAGGGACCCCAGAGTAAATTTCAGGTTTTCTGAAGTATCATATTGAGAGATAAACAAAGTAAGATAGGCAGGTTCAGACATTCATACCCTAGAATAGGTCTTTTTGGAAGCTGGTTGGTGTTAAGAGTTGTTCCTTATGGTGGGATGATCAAACGCGGTGCATTGTGTTTTGTTCTCTCTTTTTTTTTTTTTAAAAAAAAAGGAAGAGATGAGCTTTGCCCATCTGTTGTCTAAAGGATTTAATAGGCGTTTCCATCTCCAGCTGCTGCCTCTGATCGCCTGTTTTCTTGTTGCCCTGCATGGCAGCAGCTCTGCAGTCTCTGCAATTTTCTTGGGGACAGAGTTGAAATCCAGATCTTTCCGTGAAATAGGCCAACCTTTTTCTGCAACAATTAAGTGTGCAACCCTTCTCCACACTCTTTTCCTTCCTCCTACCTCCAGCCCCATAGCAACTGCCTGTCGGTCGTGTCAATGGGAAGGTTTCTGGGGAAAGTGTTGCTTTAAAACGGAAAACGACTTTTATTTGTTTGTATCTTGCTCCTTCTCATATTGCAGTAGCTGGAAAATCAGTTTACCTTTATCTTCCATAATGTTGAAGGCTAGGTTTTTTTTTTTTTTCAATTATAGCTTCCGCCACTCTGAAATATATCTTGTCATGAATAACAGAGCCGAGGAATACGAAATTCCTGCCAAAATGATTGCAGTATTATGGTGCACCAATAAAAACCCTGGATGCTGTTTCCGGAGGGGATTTCTTGCCCTTTGCTATGACTATGTAAGAGGCCTTAAATCTATGAACTCAAACCTTATCCTCGTTACTGTGATTTTTGTCTACTTCCAGTTGAGGTCTCCCACTCTGCCCCCCCCCCTCCCCAGAGTTTGAGTTATCTCAAAAGCAGCTACAATAGCAGTATTTCAGATTGATGATTCTTCAAAAGCTTTGCCAGAAGTAAGTCCTTCTGAGTTCGGAGGGACTTGCAAGTTAAGTAAAGGAGCAAAAGACAACAACCTATAGATTTAGATCATACATTTGGATCATCGCAGGGTATTATTCAGCTAAAGGGTTAACTGCAATTTGTCCTCCCCCTTCCTTCACTAATCTTCCAGTCTTCCTTCTGAGTGATTAGAGAGTGGGAGAGGGGAGTGGGGGGGGGGGCAGAGCCTGTGTTCAGAGAGATATTGTGGTCTACTTTTGCTGGTCTTTGAGAACCTGAATTAGAGCAAACATGTTGTTTGTCATTTTACAGGAAATTGTAAATGAACTTCCCCTCTTTCAGTCCTGATTTATAACAAATGTTCATGCAATGCTGGGATACATAGATAAAATCTAAATGTGTTTTAAAGACCCCCACTAAGCATTATTGGTATATAGAGTTTTAATTCGGTGCTCGCTTGCTTAGGAGGTTGGGAGGTACAACTACTGAAGTCAACGGGACTTTCTTCTGGAAAACAAAAACAAAAACAACCACCATGCATGGAATTGCAGATATTTGTTTACTTTCTCCCATATTCAAAATTGATATATTAAATGAATTATGGTCAATTTTCTTTGCTATTACACTTAGAATTTTGGAAAAGAATCAGTGATAAATAGCCAAGCGATGGCATTTTTGTCTATCGTTCCTAGAGTCCTAAGGAGAAGAGGGCATTTAGTAAGCTTCTGGTAGGGAGTATCTGAACATGTAGTCGTTCACTTGGAGATTCAATAATCTTGTGCTCAAGAGGCTGGCAGTTCAATAGAGTTATGTAGACAGTTTGCAACTCAAGCAGAACCACACCATAGAAAGAAGGAAAAATGAGACATGGAAAGTGTTTGTTGATATTTTTAAGGTAATTTCATGAAATGTATCATGACTCCAACAACCATCCAGAGTTATCCTGAGGTAAGATGGATGGTCAATACGTTTTATAAATAAATAAACAATCTATTGTCTTTATTCTCCTGTAACTTCAGATTTGTTTGTATGTTTTAATCCACCTCCTCCCCCTACTTAACTTGCAAAGTGTTTTTGCTATAAAGTTCGTTATTGTAAGTTCAGGACCGTCTATTTCCTTTTCTATAAAATACAAAAGATCAAAGCTAAAGATTTGGGAAGGCAAATGCTGGCCTTGGTCCTAACTGAACTTTGAACTTCTTTAGCTTCTGCATAGTTTTAAATGGCAGGCTTGATAAATGAGCATGAAACAAGGAGATTTTAACAGGCAAGAAGTCCAGATGGTACATCTATGCAGCCGTGATGACATCTATTCTTGCATGTGCAAAACTGACCTTGCAAACCGTATTCAGGACACGATACATTTTAGGGCTCTGGATGATGACAATGCTAATTCTCCTTCAGAGCAGGGAAAGCAAAGCTCGTCCGGTAGAGTCTGGTACATCAGGCCTGTGGCAAATGATTGATGTCACAAAGGGAGGATTATGGTCTCCTGGTTTCAAAAGCAAGAGGAGGGCACTGACCAAAGGAGTGCATAACATTTGCCTGCAGTCTTGCTGTAATATGGGCAGTGTGGCAAAACCCGGGGGAAGAAATTCTTAATAATGCAGTGTAAGAATTCCATGCATGTATAATTAAATTAGATTGTTGTAGTCAGACAATTGGCCCTTTGTTATTGTATGAAGCAGAGTTTTAAAGGGTTGTGCTGTTGTTTTCTAAAACTTGACTTGCAGGGAATCCACTCAATAGGAGGAGAGAAGGAGATGCAATAAATAGAGTGATACTATAATTTTACAAATGTGATTATTAGATTATGAGGAAACATCTTGAAAATTTCAACACAAACCAATTGCTTTTAAAGGGACAAGCAAGCGATGGTTCACTTTGGACTGAAATACTGTGGCATACTTAATTATAGGAGGTTTGCACTGTAATTAACTGTAATGAGCAAAAATGTAGTGTTTTGTGTTTGCAGTAACACACCAGGAAACATTTGTGCTTAGATAACAATTCCAATTCAGAAGTATTATCCAAATGAAGCTAAATTGTCTTTAATTTGGCATGGCTGGTTTATAATTTCATTTATATGAAAGTGATATTTCAAATATTTCTCATAATGAGGTTTTATTTAGAGTTAGCAATATCTTTAATTTTGTTTTCACTTGGCTGATCTTCATATATTTGTTTTATATATCTTATATATCTGTTTTAACATTCCAGGTCTCAAACATTTTAAAGCCATATTTGGGGATATTGCTCTCATTTTACTATTGGAACATCCTAACCTCAAAACTTGTATGGCTGCATTATAGCAAGTTAATAGAATTAAATTATATTCCATGATCCTTTAGTTGTTATTAATGAGGTCTTGATGAACTTGATATTTTTCCTTCCTAGTTGCATGTCTTTTCCTTTTTCAGAAACAGTTCTCAAATTTTGATGGCATTTTTTTTTCCTGAAAGCATTTTAGTGAATATAATTCAGATTCTAAACCTATTTAGAAACATATACTATTGAGTCAATGGATTTCATTTCTATTCACAGAGCCAGAGTTACTGTAGTAAAAAAAAATGAAATTGCTTTGGCTGTTTGATTCATCTAGACTGAACTTCCCAATTTGAAATGAATTTCAATTATTACATTTAATAGAAAGCCTCAAAACTATAATCAAGCATGCATGGAAGACAGCAAATTGAGGAAGATTAGTCTAACTTTATCAACTTGGGTTGAGACCTTTCTGTGTGATGTCATGGCTTTAGTCATATAGGTTTCTTGCCTTTGCTGATAGATGGAGCTATACTTTTCATCTTTAAAATCATGGTATCCTAAAGCAAAGTTTGGTAGGATTAGAAATGGAAGACATCATTTTGTGATCTCTCCAACAGCAATAGCACTTAGACTTATACACTGTTCATAGTGCTTTACAGCACTCTTTGAGTGGTTTACAAAGTTAGTGACAATTTGTCCCCAACAATCTAGGTTCTCAT